TTTTTTCATAAAAAACAAATTTTAGTTTTTTGTTGAAAAAAAGAAAAAAAATTAAAAAACCTTTCAAAAAAAAAAAAAAAAAAAAAAAAAAATGAGCCCACTACAATGTGTCCAGCCGCTGCTTGATTAACTCAAAGGAAATAGGAAACAACAGGAAATGTAAGAAAACAAGGGGACAGCTTTATCTGATCAGTCTGCTGTAACATACTTTGAGCTACCTGCTCCTCAGCAGACTTCGTTCATGTTACAACATGTCAAACCCACACTGTGAGGGCTTAGCGGGAGGTGTGCTGTTTAAAGACTAGCCTGCCTTACACAATGGTTAGTGAAAAGCCCTCTCCCATAACAAGTGAGACATCTAAAAGCAGTGTGAGGCTAAACGGAGGTCAGGAATCAGTAAACATTTTAGCAGGGGGTAATTGTAGTAGGGAAAACAATTGTTGGCTCCGGTCTGTTTGGCTTATGAATCATTCACACATATGTCATGCATTGTGCAAAGAAAATTAAGAGGTTCCTTGTAACAGCAGGACCTAGCACATAGTTTATTTCATCAGTCCTCAGTCTAAAAGTCTTTCTCACCTGAGGCACAAAAGGAAATCACTGTTGCTGCAACAAAGTATTACAGTAATGATGGTGGATGAGTACTTTAATTGTTATGGTTGAGACTTGTGTAAAAGACAGGAGGTGGTCAAATTCTGTTGCCTTGGAGACGTAGTGTCTGGGTTCCTGCATTGGAGACTGCAGCTTCCCTGGGTAGGTCCAGATTGTGAGAACACCATGATCCAAACTAGGAGGGCCTTTGTTCTATCTGTTATTATGACACATAGTTCCTCTCTGTGGGAAACAGGCTCAGCTTGTGGCGTTGTCATTTGTGTTTTTAGTGCTGTTAGATTCCATTGTTCTTTATGGTAATCCTCCCGTCTGTACGTTTTCAAAAATCTATCATCTAGTTTCCAAATGTCACTGTTAAACCGAACAGGTTCGGTCAAGCCTGATAATTGGCACATTTAATCCTTATCAAAAAAGGGTATTTAGCCGTAGTTTGTGTATTGCGCAAACCATGTTTTCTGTTGTCAGGTTACCCTTTGGTTTGAATAAATGAATCTTCCTGAATATGAAGTGTGGTATGAGCATGCCACGAGTTGCTGTTCTTCTTATCATGAAGCCTCATCACTCTGAAACTATTTAGTTTTATTTTGTCTCAATTGCAATGACTTGTTGATCTAAGATTAAGACCTAAAGATTTTGTCAGAAAGTACCTTAAATTTCTAAGTTGTGGCTTTAAAACATGGTTGGCTCCTTTGTACTCTGTCAAAAACAGTGATAACTATATTAGTGTCTCGGTATCTTGAATTCCTATTGATGCTCTGTATGTTTCTGAGGCTTTTATAACAACTCAATGAAGAGAACACATTGATAATCAATCTTAGACATTTTTTTTTTCATTTCAACAGCAAAACAATCTCAGATCAGGGCAAAGTTATTTCTAACTTTGGTGACTTGGTAAAAATCCCAGTCAGCTGGGCCTCTAACTGTGATCAACAAGTGATAGATTGGAATTTCATAATAAAGCAAACACAGGGGTCTCAAACTCAAGTTCTTGAGGACCAGGGTCCTTCTTCCACATAACTGACTCAAATGGTTAGAGCAGCACTGTATGCTAAAGATGCCATCAATGACCAGGAACTCGGTCACTGAAAATTTGCATTCGAAAGGCCTGAGCTTATAGACACACTTCAACACTACAGACTGTATTTAATTGCTATATATTATTACAAATCTCAAACCAGTGTAAAAAAAGGGACCTTTAACACTCTGATTTTTAAATGGAGGAGATGATTTTAAAAATTGATTTCACAATACTAATGTTGCAATATAAAAGACATGAAAAGGGATTGTGTTGGTTTTTCCAAAAATAAAGCCTTTGGATCCAGCTACAAAAATCATTATTGTGGTGCTGCAGTGATAGGCACCTAATGGGAGGCCCATTTTCATCAGGTAGTACATGCTTCTGTAGTTTACCACAGATTTTGTCAAAAAGAATTGAAAGAATTGTCCTGAGCTGATAAGCTTTGTTTTATCAACAGGGTATGGCGGCTGACGTGTCAATCATAAAACATACTCAACCATTTGGGTGTAAACTACAGTTATTGTGCGTTAATAATTCATTTGTTGTCTTGTTTGCAGACTCATTCGTCAACAGTCAGGAATGGACATTGAGTCGATCAGTTCCAGAGCTGAAAGTGGTGAGTAACATTTTCTTTTTGCTTCTTGCAGTCCAGCTGTTGATTCGTCTTCAGTGGTTTCATCATACTGACAGATTGAAAATGTCATCGAAAAAGCATGCCATGTCCATGTAGCGCAGGTTTTGCAATTCACACGAGAAGGCACATGTGAGAAAATTGGCCGGACTTTTCTGCTGGCACATAGTTGGCGACTTTTTTCTTTTTTCTTTTAATGAGATGTGTTGGCATGGAGATGTAAGGTGGCTTGCTGCAGGAAGTGAGATGAGTGACAGTTTTGGGCTAGACTGGTGACACATCCTGGGTCTGATCCCACCCGCCAGTGGAGCACACAGGCACAGCAACTGCCAAATGCACAGCTAACATCCTCTTATGGTCTAATGCCCTCTAAAGCTCCACTCCTGTATTGTACCAGTCGATCTCTTTGTGGTTAAATTGCTGCTGTGTCTCTTTGAAAACAACAAAAACTTCCAACTGAATACCAATTCACAGCAGTGACTTGAAAGGCAAACTTGCTGCGGTGACCTCAGATGCTTCGAATGTAACTGCTTCTCTCGATGAATCTGAGGTGTTAATTGGAACTTTGTTAAACTGCTTGTGAAAGCTAAAATGAAGTGTTCCAAAAAAGCAGTGGTCAGCAACAAGGTCATGCTGTTGGAAAGAGGTTTGCCAATCATTTCTGAACAGTAAAAGAAAACGTTTATGATCAGATCCCACAGTTGCAGTAAACGGAATTTCCTGATCTCCAAACATCAGTGTTGATCAAGCTTTGACCTGCACATATACAATTTAGCCAATTCCAGTTTTTCTTTGAGAGCTGTAATATAAGCAAACATAGGAACAGCATTCAGGAAGCTTTATCGAGTCCTCCTGACATGTAGTTAAGCTTTCAAAAATCAGGATTGCATTAGACAAACAAAGGAGGCGGGAATTTTATCTGTACAGGGTCGATATGGAGCAATGCACATTACATAGATGTCAGGAAACTGCTGAAACAGTAAAGACATCAGTAAAAACTGTTTTATTTTCCATAACCTGGGAGCTAAGCTATGTCATTACATCCCTATCTCGTCTTATGAACTAAATGTTTGATTTTCGCTTTGTTTTATTCAGTGAGGATCAAATTCCAGAAAGATAGTTCACTACGTAAACCACATTGGTTTTCACTATTTATGCAAATGTATATCCTAATATTGGCAGCTTTTATTGTATTCCTTCAGATTATTTGTGCTAAAACAACAATCATTTTTTTAATGCATCACAGTCCTAATCGACTTATCAATCCTCAGTGCTGGAAAACTGTATAAAAATACAACATTTAGACAAAAATTTACTGCTAACAAGTGGCGAAAATAAATCAGGAGCATTGAGCTTATTCCACATGTTGTTGGTGATAAAGTTCAGATTTTTTTTTTTTTTTTGGGGGGGTCTGTAATTAAGCTAATCAAAAACAAAGCTAACATCACAATATAAAACATGGCACTTGCAACACCTAGAGTGGTGGTTGGTCATCTTGTCCCTCAATAGCTTCAGATAAAATTAGTTATTTGCAATGGCCTAACACTTAAATGGCTCTAAGAAGGATCCAGTTAATCAAACTCAGTTTTCACCAGTAGAAACACAAAGATGTGGTACACCAGCACTAGTTTAGTGGGGAAACAAATTTTCTGGAAAATCTCCTAGAGATTTTCAAAAAGTTGTCTACATCTCTGGATTTCACATGTTCTATGAGAGACAGAAGATAAAAGCTCAAAAGGATAAAACTGCAACTTTGTTATAGCATGTTGTGCCTTCCTGTAATCTGCTCATTTTCTGACTGCCTAAATTGCCACAGACGTGTCTCAACATGTCACAATAAAACTTCCTTTTAAATGGCTTACGTCTTTGTTCTTTCACTGATGCCTTTCATAAACTCAGATACTGATATCAATCAGTTTCTTCTGTCAGTAATAGGTGTCAACAACAGTGTATTTATTACTACAACACAGTAGTGTTGAATTATGTTTTGTTCACTGATTGGTAAAAAAGTAGTGTTTTAAATTAAGTCAAGGTCAAACAGATTTTTGTCACCAGCCAATTTTTCAGGACATTTCTAATTACACCAAAAAAAAAAAAAAAAAAGCACATTTCCTGGAGAAATAACTGAACAGACCATTACTAAGTAGGAAAAAAAAATCTGATACATCTGCTACTGTAGTAAATCCCAACTTTCCAGCTTTTGATCCACTCTGACTTGAAATTGTTCCCAGATAGGTACGAAACACTTCTAAAGAGTAAGAGCTGGTTGTGGAGTACCGCTGATGTGGCGTTTTGTTTTAATAAAAGCCCATATACCAGCAGGTCACAAAGCTGAGCAGTTAAAACAGCAGGATCGTTGGATCTCTGGCACATTCAGTCTTTTTTTTTTTTTCTTTCTTTTTTGGTTGTTGTTGACTCATGGTTTTTAGTGTACATAGCCTCAAACCAATCGCTTATTTATTGTTTATTCTACTTAGAGTAACTCCATATATCTTTAATACTTATATTTTAATGATCCACATCTTGAATTGAATGCAGATTTTTTTTCTTTTTTTCATCAAACTTGCTTATAATTAGAGCCATACCTGACTTTAACTCCCACTAATGATCTGATGAAGAAGAAGGAGATGGCGAGCAGAGGAGACGAGGTGTGATACATCCTTTGTTCTTCCCAGACATGCTGGCATCATCAGCCCACCCTGCACCACGTTTCACCCTGGAGGCATTACATTGAAGTCTGGTGTAGAAACCAGCGCGAGAAAGCAGAGGAGTGATTGCAGCTGAGCTGCTGGATATTACAGGACCTCTCCTGACCTTAATAAAGAACCAAACTGTGTTACTTTTACTTTTGTTTCTGTTGATGTATTTTGCCTCCGCTGCTGTTCTTCAAACAAAATGAAACTTTTAAGTGGGTTTTCTAACCTGCTTTTGTGGGTTTATTCGGCTTCATGCAGATGTTGACGTTGGAACAATAATGGGATGAAAATCAAACGGGGTTAGAATTTAGTTGCTTATGGATGCACTGGTCAGAGTTTTTCTGTGCCATACATTATTAATGAGCATGGTTAGAGCATTTAGCAATAATAAAAAAGCACTCCC